GATGATCTACATGTGGATAAGACTTACTCAAGTCTTAAATAATTTGTATAGTATAATATCTAAATTTAGGTTACAGAAAAAGTTTAAATATTATTAAAATAATAAATTATCATAATAGCCACAAAATTATCAAAATAAGTAATGACTAATAAAATAAAAAAATGAATAGTTAAAACACTTAAAACCAATTAATTACAAATATTTRAGTGAATTTACATTAGTTTTATATAATATTTCTGTTTTTTAACGGAATTATGAGAAATTTTAAATTACAATAACTTGCATACTTATAATTTGCTTAAGAATTTAAATATCATAAAAAAATTAAAGAACAAATAGATTATGTTCTTATATTGAAATTGTATAGTAGGTTCTTCTATCCATCTGGATTCCATAGACTTTATTTTTAAAATAAAGTCTTTRCTGGATTTACAATAGATAATATTTACAAGACGTAACTAAGAAGATAACAATTTATATAAGTCTAATAACATTGCTAACRTTTGCTAGATCCTAGGTATGAACCCACCTTAACCCTTAGAGCACAAAACTAGTTCAGCTGAATACAAATTTCCTATGTTGTATGTTTTTAGGATGGGGACAATACACAATATGCGAATATGAAATACTCTTAAAATATTATCACAGGATATATAAAATATAAATATTTATAATTATGTCACATATCATACATTATAAAATAAAAATTGTTTAAACTAACACCCGAGCTAACACCCAAGCAAAGATTAATTTTGTACTAACACATTCAGATTTTGTTCTGCTTGTTCAGCATCTACAACCATTCCTGGAGGAGGTTCTTTAACGAGCGATATCAATTCTTTATGTAGTCTTTTCTATGTAAAAACAAAGAATGATTAAACATTGTTTATATTTAATAAAAAAGATATAATTGTAACAACAATGTATAAACAGATACATACTTCGGACGGAGTTTTACCGGCCATTTCACAATAATCTACGATGATGAAAAGATAATAAGTTAAATTATTTTTAAAGCTGTATAGTGCTCATAGTGTAATCAATAATTAATTATTATGTCGTTGTATCAAAGAGAACATAGAACACATATTGGCCATTGAGTAAAGCAATGAAGTATACAGCCAATACCCAAAAACACAGTTTATACAAGTTTAACCGAAAATTGTCGTAAACGACGTAAACTTAAAAATTAATAATCACAAAAATAAAAGTGCTATAAAACTGTATTTTCTATTTGTAGAGAAGTTATGTATTTGAAAAAATCGAATCTAATATCTATTAGTATTTCGCTTCGGAAAACAACAAAAGGTCTTGTTGTCTCTTATCATTAAAATAATAGTATAGTGTGTCTGATGACACGCCAGCTGACTGCTTTAATATACAATGGAAGAATAAACAACAAACCACAATAAAACAGTTTTAATCCTAATGATTAATAACCATTGACGACGGACAATAATCGTGATAAAAACTGAAAACAATTTGTGGTTTCTTTAGTTTCTTGAATCTTGATTCATCATTCATGGCTCATGGCGCTCTAGCTGACTTACTCAATATTAATTTCTAAAGTTCATAGAAATATAGAACTGAAACCCGTGTGAAGTTAGGATAACAAAGCCAGGCCAGCTGGGGACTAAATAATATTCTCGGGCGACTAGTGATAAGAATCCTTGTATACACGGTTGCGTTTTATTATATTCAAGGCACCCGCAATATAAAATACCGGTAGCCGAGAAATGGCGCCATGCAATCCAGCTTCAGCATTATGTGAATTTATTATAGTAAATCTAATTTGTAATTACTAATTTTTATAAGTCCGCGGTACGTCGGGCCGTGCGTGGTTTTTAATTTTTCCGACCATGTTCTGAAAGGTGGCGCCGAATTAAACTAATATATTCGGAAAGCCAGGAAAATTTCCTATAACATATAATAATTGTGGAGTGTACAAAGCTTTCGGTCATACCTATATCAAATCGCAGCCGACCGTCTCAGGGGACCGTTATTCGTACGGACAGGTRCCCGTGCGTGGTTTTTAAASTGGATACGTGAATATCAAAAGGATTCATCAGTTATTTCTTMTCATGCAATTGATGTATTACAGAATTTTGATGAGGACGTTTTCCTTTAATAAATAAAATATTAAAATTATTTAACAGATAACTTTTCATAAAAGAAGTAAGAACCTTC